AGGGCGCTGGGGGTGAGTTGCGGGCTGGCTGACGTTAGCGCAGCCCGAGCACGGCGGTGAGTGAACTGTTTTGTCAACGGGGGCGATTGACCTGCCTTCCCCCGGCCCCCACAGCACCGCCTGTCCCAAGGCGGCTGCATTGTTTTGTAACTAGAGAGGGACGGACACTGGCCTGGTACCCACTGCTCCTTTCAGTAAATTCTCTTTTGGGGGTGGGCTCTGTTCAGGGCGGCATGGTGCTCTGGGCATCCATCTGCTATGCTAATGAGCTGTGCTGCAGTCCAGTGAGCGACCTCAGTGGGCCTAAGGCAGGGCTACTCAACTTGGAAGCCCCGGGGGCCACAACTTAAGTGTGGTTGCATATACATGCAAATATATATGCAAATAGCATCTTTCACACTGATGGGCATGAATACAAAGATTAAGGCAAGACTGCACAACACACAGGTCAGGTCCCGTTTAAGTTAGGTTTGCCAAAATTAATAAAATGCAATATTTAACTCATTACCACCGGTATGACAGAAGTTTTAATGAGCAATGACAGTTCAGGAATTTAACTACTAAAACGCTTATCAACAGAAGACCATTCTATTGCCTACTTTTTTGTTTTGGCTTCCACCCACAGGCTACGTATTGAGTCCTGCGTAAATCCAAACTGCACCACTGGCTGCAAACAAATGGGCCATGGGCCGCGTGTTGAGTAGCCCTGACCTAAGGGAGTATGGTGTTTGTGTGACAATACTGCCTGGAGCTTGCTGGACTTGTTTCTCCCAGGGGAGCAGCTGTGCAGATAGGCCACCCAGGGAGAGCTGAGCTGTGCTCTGCTCTGCATGGTGGTCCTTTCACTATTTCTCTTACCTTCATTTTCTGTGCTCTGTTCCTTCCTGGGCAGGATGAGCATGTTCTGACATGGCATTGCAGTGCAAAACTCAGACTCTTCAAGTGGTAGACACTGAATACAGTGCAGATGCTGTGGAGTGGTGTCCTGTGGAAGGCTGGCACAGTATTCTGGTTTGTGGCACTTACCAGCTAAAGAAACCAGATAGAAAGGTAAGTGACAGAAATGATATTATTGGGAGGGCTAATAGGTGACCTAAGTCAGTTATGTCAGTAGTGACAGAAGTCATTTCTGACCTCTCGTGCATTGTGTGTAGGGATGTAAACGACTAGTTGACTACCTGATAAGCTTAGGCTTATCAGGTAGTTGAGTCACTACTCAACTAGTCGCTCCCCTCCCTCCCCCGCCCCACCTTGCTGCCTCTGATTCAATCTGTACAATCTCATTCTGAGAACTGAAGGTGAAGCTGGGCTCTTTTTAGATCTTTTATGACCATCAGTAATAAAGATCCTGCGCAGTATCATTGGCCTTCAATGGTGGTTATGCTGTAGCTGATGAGAACTTGATTAACAGTTTTGCTGATTATGTCCAACGTGGAATGGATCCCAGTTCCTCCTTTTATAGTTATGTTGGCTGTTGAGGATTATTAAAAGTAAAACACAACTAAAAAAACTACAACTAAAATTAGCAGGTCTGAATCCTTGCAGTTGGCAAAACTGCTCAGTAGGTAGTGACCAGTTTTACGGTCACTTCCCCTCCCCCCTAAAAAAAAAAAAAGCAGTACTTTGAATTACTTCCATTAAGCAGCAGGGTATTTCCCTCTTCAGTTGCATACTGTCATATGGAAACCACTTCCACTGCACCCTCAACATGAACTGTGTTCCTGCCTGATCTTGAGAACTAAGCAGTGTACTTGAAGGTGAGGCTTCCAAGGAATGCCTAGGTGGTACATAATGCTTATTCAATAGATGGCATTTATTTTCTGTATCAGTCTGAGGGACGAGCCATTGTTACCTAGCCAAGTTTCAGCTTACTCCCTTTCCCTAAATTCCTTCAGAATTAACTGAATATGGGAATCTAATACTCTTTCCTGCCCTATATTGTTGAGGGGACTGTTAAAGGGTTGCAGAGTCCAATCCCAGAGCTGTGTAAAGTGATGCATATATTCCTATATTGCTTCTAAAAGAGCTTGGGGGAGAGCAGTCCTTAAGGTTTATGGGCCCTGCACAGTTCTATTAAACTGGTGCCCCTATGCCTGATGGTCACTGCGGGGAGGAGATGATTTTTAGAGACGTGGTTTTATAATCTTCAGCAGTGCACTAATGAGAGATTTTTAAAGCAGATTTTAAATTAAGGTCCTGTAGACTAACACAGTAAATTCAGAAGCTGATAGTATATATCTGGGGTTGGCAAATGCCTGTTAGAGCCATTCAAGTGGTAATAAAGCCATTTTTCACAGATGCAATGTTCCACTAATAGGTCTGACAGGCTTTGTCACTTTTAAGTTAACTAGATCCTCCCCTGAGGAAGTCAAGCCATGGAACAGGGATAGAAAGATGCAGGTGGTTGGACATTAAGACCCAATGGTACCTCAGTTTTTCAGGGGAGGGGCTAATTTTTCACAGTTGCTGAGCACATGGAGGTGTCATTGGCTTTTCCTGGAGTTGTGACTGCTTGGCATCTCTGAAAAATGGTACTTTTAATGACTTTCCCAAGGTCCTACTCCTATAGCTTGTTGAGTGTAGAGCTGGGATCTCAACACAATGAGTATCCCCAGCCTCTGTTTCTCTGGAGGTGGGTGACGGGAGGGATCATGTGAAGATTACCTGTTGTGTTCCCTTCCTCTGGCGCATCTGGTATTGGCCACTGTCAGCAGGCAGGATTCTGGGCTAGATGAGCCTTTGGTCTGACCCAGTGTGGCCGTTCTTATGTTCTAGTGCTGACTCTGTCCCCTGTTGGTGTGCTTTATGGCAGGGTATTTGAGGGAGGAATGTTACATTGTATGAAGGAGGTGAGAAAATAACACATAAGCTTACAGAATTCCTTTGCTCTTGTTTGATACAGCCTGGTGCAAACCCCAGTGAGAGTGATGAGCCCCACACGCGGCTTGGGCGCCTCTATCTGTATCACTACAGCGAAGAGCAGCCCTTCATCCCACTGACTGAAATTCAAAGGATTGAGACTGCTGCCATTCTAGACTTGAAATGGTAATGCTGGCAAGTGGGAAGGAGAAGGGGGAGCGTGTCTCCTTTGGCATTTATGGCCAAGGGTTACCTGTGCCTGGGCTGCTGCTCTAAGTGTTCAGTCTCTCTGATTGCCAATAGCTTCTGCTGTGGTAATGAATAAGTAGCTTCTGGTGAGCACAGTGCTGTACAAGATTTCTGGCTTTTAGTTTAATAACTGCTGGATTATTGTTCTGTTCAAGAGTAAAAAGTCCCAGTAGTTCACTGAAGTTAGCTTTCAATGTGGCATCCTAGAATCATAGAACTGGAAGAGACCTCAGAAGGTCATCAAGTCCAGCCCCCTGCTCTAGGCAGGACCAATTCCAACTAAATCAACCCGGCCAGGGCTTTGTCAAGCCGAGACTTAAACACCTCTAGGGATGGAGACTCCACTACTTCCCTAGGTAACCCATTCCAGTGCTTCACCACCCTCCTAGTGAAATAGTTTTTCCTAATATCCAACCTGGACCTCTCCCACCACAACTTGAGACCATTGCTCCTTGTTCTGCCATCTGTCACTACTGAGAACAGCCTCTCTCCATCCTCTTTGGAACCTCCCTTCAGGAAGTTGAAGGCTGCTATCAAATCCCCCCTCACTCTTCGCTTCTGCAGACTAAACAGACCCAACTCCCTCAGCCTCTCCTCATAAATCATATGCTCTAGCCCCCTAATCATTTTGGTTGCCTTCCGCTGGACCCTCTCCAATGTGTCCACATCCTTTTTGTAATGGGGGGCCCAGAACTGGACACAGTACTCCAGATGCGGCCTCACCAGAGCCGAATAAAGGGGAATAATCAC